GTTTGTGCCAGAGTCTTGCCGAGAGGAAGTACTCCGAGGGTTCCATCATTCACGTCTTGCGGTGCATTCGGGAGGCACTAAGATGTATTGGGATTTGGGTCGCCAGTTTTGGTGGCGGGGTATGAAAAGAGATGTGGCTGTTTTCGTATCGAAGTGCCTTACTTGCCAACAAGTGAAGGCCTAGCATCAAAGGCCAGCGGGTTTGTTGCAACCCTTGCCTATTGCCGAGTGGAAGTGGGAGCATGTCACTATGGACTTCGTTATAGGTCTTCCGAGGACTCAGCGGGGTAGTGATACTATTTGGGTGGTTGTAGACCGGTTGACTAAGTTGGCGCACTTCATTCCTATGAGCGTGAAAGATTCGGTAGATCATCTCGCCGACTTGTATATTCGGCACATAGTGAGATTGCACGGGGTCCCAGTGACGATCGTCTCAGATAGAGATCCTCGTTTTACTACTAGGTTGTGGCAGAGTTTGCAGAGTGCCTTGGGCACTAGGTTGACTTTTAGTACGGCTTATCATCCTCAGACTGACGGGCAGTCTGAGCGTACTATTCAGATCCTTGAGGATATGCTTTGAGGTTGTGTTCTTGACTTTAATGGGATGTAGGAGAGGCACTTGCCCTTGGTAGAGTTTGCCTACAACAACAGTTTTCAATCTAGCATCGGTATGGCACCGTTTGAGGCCTTGTATGGCCCACCGTGTAGGTCTCCAGTGTGTTGGGCCGAGGTGGGTGATGCACTTTTGTTGGGTCCGGAGTTGGTTAGGGAGACGACGGAGAAAATTGAGCTTATCCATAGGAGGCTTGTTACAGCCCAGAGTCACCAAAAGAGTTATGCCGACCATAGGAGGAGGCCTTTGGCATTTGAGGTAGGTGATCATCCTAGGCGAGGTTTGATGAGGTTCGGGAGGAGTGAAAAGTTATCCCCTCGGTTTATTGGTCCCTTTGAGATCCTTGAGAGGATTGGCGAGGTTGTTTATCGTTTAGCCTTACTGTCGCAGTTGTCCGGAGTGCATGACGTGTTTCATGTGAGTATGCTTCGGAAGTATGAACCGGATTCGTCCCATGTGTTAGATTAGACCGACTTGGAGGTAGATGAGGATGCCTCGTATGAAGAGAGACCGGTTCGGGTCTTGGATAAGCGAGATCAAGTCCTGCGTGGCAAGACCATTCCTTTGGTGAAGGTTTTGTGAAAACATCACGGAGTGGAGGAAGCCACTTGGGAACGTGAGTTGGAAGTCCGCGAGAAATATCTGGACTTGTTTGTTGATGTGTAACCATGTGTTGGTAATTTTGTAATATCGTTGAACTTTAAGAACATTGTATGTGTCTTAAGTTGTAAAACATTGTGAATGTTTTTGTTAATGAAAGTTTATTTTAACATTGCGTATGTTAAGTGTATTGTGGAAATGCAGGCATGATGATAATGTTGCATGTATTGTGGAATTATGGAAAATGAGTTGAAATTGGTAAATTTCAAAAGAATGCATGTTGATAATGCAGGTTGTTATGTGTAATGTGTTATGCCTCTTGAAAAGAGATGAGATTGACCGGTAATGGGTCGGGTTGTTTAATATTATGTTGTAATATTGTTGGGAATGGAGAAAAACCTGTTTTTGAAAAACTTGTGTTTAATTTCGGGGATGAAATTCTTTAAGGGGGGGAGGTTATAGCGATCCCGGTTGTCCCTTTACTGTTCTGTTGTATTCCGGAGTCGGTTCGGTGATGTTGGTGGTGGTATACCTTGTTGTCATCCTTTAATTCCACTTGATTGAGTTTTAGGATATATTGGGCAGAGTTGTTATAGGTTGGTTAGGCTTTGGTTTCAATTCCTTGTTGCCTAGTTTTTAGGAGGTCCGCTCGAGCGGGTCTTCTTGCGGAGATTGCACGCTTCCAGTATTTTGGTGCTCTGCAGAACTTCTGCAGGCATGTTTTTGGCACTCGAGCGGGTTTCTTTGTGCTCGAGCGGTGACGCTCGAGCGGGTACTGTAGCGCTCGAGCGGGTAGTACCTTTGGGTGTAAGTTCTGGGAGGGGAAAATGTACGCTCGAGCGGATGTACTTTATTCTTGTTTCTTGGCGCTCGAGCGGGCCTTCTTGCGCTCGAGCGTACCTAGTATTTTGTTCTTGACGCTCGAGCGTTGTGTTCTCCGCTCGAGCGGGAATGTCGTATATTAGTTGGCAGCTGGGCATTTTAAAATCACTTTTTACATTCTCTCTCTCTCTCTTACTTTCTAAAAAGACTTTTTGAGAGTTCCTCTCTCTAGAAACTCCCTTCTCTCTAGGGTTTGATCTAGTTAGAGTGTTTCCTTTTCCTTCGGCCTTTGTAAAAGTTGGGTTGATCGTCGAGGGCTACACATCGATCCGAAAACATTGAGTTTTGAAGCACGTTGAGTTTCTTCACCTTCTTTCCTTGAGCTCCGAATTTGAGGTAGAGATTCCTACTCACTCTTATGAGTTTTAACCTAGATTTTGAGCTTATTGTTTAAATGGTTGATTTTGGGACTTAGGGTTTCAAAATGTGTTAAAGAGGGTTTTGATATGCTTCGAGGTTGTGTCGAAAATGGTGGTTTTATGGAATTGAGTTGGAAATAATGAAATTGGCTCATTATGTTGTGAAATGATGGAGTTGGATTTATAAATCGCTCACTTTCGAAAACATTGATATTTTTATCTGTTGAAGCTTTTGTTATCTGTTTAGAAATAATTGCTTGGGCTACCGGTGGAGGGTAGTTTTGATTGTTGTAGACAATGCATGATGATTAGGCAAACTAAAACTAATCAATTGGATATGTCATAGAGTATGACGGTTGATAGAATACATTAACGTTATGTATTGGTTGATTGTGTAAATGACCTTTGTGTATATACGTTATGTGTGTGAGAGGAAATAGGAGATGTACTCCACGGTTTAGGGGAAGATAGAGGATGGACCTCTAAACCGGATGTTGTTTGGGAGGAGATAGGGGATGGACTCCACTGATACAGCTCATATGCTTGTTAGATAATGTGTTGATATAGCTTATATGCTTATCTTGGAAGTGTTGATAAAGCTCATATGCTTATCATTGGAAGTGTTGATATAGCTAATATGCATATCTATTGAAATGTGAATACAGCTTGTATGCTTATATGTTGAGATGGTGATACAACTAGTATGTTTATCTATTGTAAAATGGGAAGTATTTAATATGAGTCATTGTCTCATATAAGTAGTTGGCCAGGTTCTGAGCCATTGATGTAAATTGTGAAATTGATAAGAAATGGAAATTGAAATGAAACATGAACATAGTGGCCATGAAATGGAAAATGGATTATGAATTGGTTTATGGAAATCGAACATTTATCAATTGCCAATGTCTTAGTTATTGCTCATACTGTGTTTAGCATACCTCTACTGGGCGTTGGTTCACCCTTTATGGGACATTATTTTCAAGTACAGGTAGTATGCCACCTCCAAGGATATAGCTTGGATGATGATGAGAGCTGAAGACTCTTTTTGTTTATTTTGATGTATTACATGTAAATTCAAGCCAAGGGCATAATATGTATTGAGTTAGTACTTCTCTTTTTGTAACCAAGTGTTAACTTGGAAAGATGTAAGCCCATACGGCATTTGCTTTTGTTGTTAACATGTAATACAGTTGTAAGAATTACTCTGATGAATAGAAATGGTTAGTTTCTTTTATATCAATGCATGTCTATAGTGATGGGTTTTATATATTTTTTTTAGGGCGTTACAGTTTAGGGCCAATGTTAAGCCACGTTGAGACACTTCCAACAACCACTCTTGAGCACTCAAATGGCGCCACCATCGTGAGCGAAACGTCACGGAGTTAGCCTTGCAAGACAACTCGTGACACACTTTAAAATTGTCGTGACGCTTTAAATTTGGTCTTTATCGTACAATCAAACCAATGGAGGGCATGATACTTCACTTGTTTCAATTTATATGATTAAACTTAAAAATATATACATAATTATAATGATTAGGGCAGAGACAAAAAGGACTTATAATCACCCTATTAAAATTAATTTTTTTTAGGGCGTTACAGTTTAGGGCCAATGTTAAGCCACGTTGAGACACTTCCAACAACCACTCTTGAGCACTCAAATGGCGCCACCATCGTGAGCGAAACGTCACGGAGTTAGCCTTGCAAGACAACTCGTGACACACTTTAAAATTGTCGTGACGCTTTAAATTTGGTCTTTATCGTACAATCAAACCGATGGAGAGCATGATACTTCACTTGTTTCAATTTATATGATTAAATTTAAAAATATATACATAATTATAATGATTAGAGCAGAGACAAAAAGGACTTATAATCACCCTATTAAAATTAATTAGAAATTTAAACATTTAATATCCTCCTCACCAACTCCATAAAAAAGCAAAATTCCAAAATAAAAATTAGAAGGATGAATTAAATTTCAAGAGTGAAGGTAATAATTTATGAGTTAATTATACATTTCATTTTTATAGTCTAACTCAAATTTAATATTAGCTTTTAAAGTTTTAATTTGAACTTTAAGTTTAGTTTTAGTTTAGTAGTTTCGTTTAAATTTTTTTATTAATTTTACCATATAATTTAGACAGAAAGGTCAAATCGAAATTTTTAAAAAATTGATAAGTGTTTCATAATTGTTAATTTAACCTCCCAATTAGATGAATTGATTAATTAAAATTGAACTTAAAATGTATGAATTAAATTATTCAATTTAAAACTATAAAAATTAAAGTGGAATTTGAGCTAGTAAAAAGTGTAATTACCCTTAATTTTATTTAGAAATATGTAAATATAAAAAACAAATAGTACTTGTTATGCGGCGTCGTTTCCTCAGACAAGTCTAAAAAGGGTTGAAAATTTTCCATTTTGCCAGGCTGGTACGTCCGAGAACTTCGAATTTCCATCTCCAGCCCCCATATTTATCCGCGCAAAATTTCTTTTATCAAGGGCAAAACCGTAATTTCAACCACACAGCAAAAACTCAAGCCACCACCCCTCTCTCTTTCTCTGCTTTTGCAAGCACCTCCGAAAACCAGATCTGAGAAGCGTCGAAAATCTCCACCGCCGTGAAAACCCTAAAAGCTTCTGAAATCGATTTCGATTCGAATCGATTTTGATTGATTCGAATCGAGAGTTCACAAATGGGCGATTTCAACCTCGCTCTGGTGATCGTCGCCATAGTCGTATGCGTCCTCGTTTTCTTCTTCAATGTCTACCTCCTCATCAACTTCCAGCACCCGGACGACGCAAACCAGGCCTATTTCCCCAAATTCGTCGTCGTTTTGGGGCTCTCCGTCGCCGCCATCTCCATCCTCATGTTACCCGCCGATGTCGCCAATCGCCAGGCTTGTCAGCACGCCATTTACAATGGCGCTTGTAATCTCACCTTGCCTATGAAGTCTCTGTGGCTCGCTGTCTACATTCTCGATGCTGTTCTCGTCTTCTTCGTCATACCTTTCGCTATGTTCTACTACGAAGGCGATCAGGACAAGTCAGTATACATTTCTAGTGTTTTTTTTTTTTTGGTTTTGATTTTGATTTTGATTATCATCATTGAAATGTCAGTGTGTGTGTGGAATTTTGATTTTGATTTTGTTTTTGTTTTTGTTTTTTTGACGCAGGACTATTGGTAAAAGGATTAAAAGCGCATTGTTGTGGGTGGGAACTACAGCTATAGTTTGCGGTCTGGTGCTCGGAATTTTATACGGTTAGTTTTCTTCAATATTGACAGATTACTTAACCATGGAGTGAGAATAAGGCAGATTTGGAATGACCAAAAGTGTGGAATTCATACGTAATTCTCCAATCCTTCACCAAATTCTTCATCAAATTTAAATTTGATGAAAGTTTTGGTGAAAATAAGGTCCAATCCTTTCATCAAACTTGTATTAAATCAAGGAAGAAGCAAAATTTTCATCTAATCAAGGATAAACCAAACCTTTCACCAGATTTCCAACCAAGCCTTTTTGCACTTAAGTTCGATGAATTGTTAAAAGATGAAGGATTGGAGCTAGGTTTTTTTCACCAAAATTGATGAAATTTGAAAGTAATTTTTTAAAATATTTTGATGAACATTTGATGAAAGGATTGGAATAGTTCATATCAAATCAAGCTTTTTACTCGAATTTGGAATCAAATTAAATGAAATATTTGATGAATGATTGGAGATGGTCTAAATATATCAATTTTGGTGCTTGGGTGTAATTCCTTTTGTGTGAATTCAGCTGTTTTTTAATCATCACGGGTGCTAAGTTATGGTTTATTCTCAAGGGGAAATTACCTATCAGTGTTACTACCAGAAAATTATTACAGAATCATGAAAAAGTTTATGATTTTAATTATTAAGGTGTGTAAAGTTTAGCACTTCTGATTTTTTTTTTTTTTTTGAAAGCTTACACTGAATTGAAATTTCCCCTATTTTTAATCGTAACTAGAGATTCCATCTCTGTGTTTTATTATGGTTTCAGTACTGCAATCCCTTTTAAGCTGTAATTTCATTGTTGGAGTATCCTTTATTTTCATTTCTTTATGAGAAAAAAAGAATTTTTATTATTGGAATTTCTTTTTTTGATAAATAGGAATTCAATACCAAAAGGGTGGCCAAAATCCATGTATGTATGCTGCACACCAAAACCAAACCTTAGAACCTAAATTAACCAAAGCATCCAGTGACCCAACTACAGATGCCTCAAAAAGTCCAGAAAATCTCAAGTAAAGGATTTTTGGTCTCGCTTTTAATCTTCACCCAACACAACTAAACAATAATCCTAAGATGTTACTCTTTAATTGACAATTGATTTCCATCAGTTCTTCAAATAATTCCCTTTTCTTTTTTTTGCTCAATGTAACATTACATACTAAGCTCAGGCTGTCAATGTTTCATACATTTGAAGAACTTCCACCACTGATCTAGGTAAGACCCAAGTCACCCCAAACAAGGTCAATAACAAGATCATTCCTTTCCCACAACTCTATAACAAGATGATAAAATAGGAAATGGATAAGGGAGAATCTTTTCTCAACTTAAATGTTATCCATCATGCGAATACTTCTACATTTTATTGACCATGCGAAAAAATCTCCAACTATCGCTTAGAAAGAGCACCTTTCTTTTATTTTTATTTGATGACATTAAACATAATCAAAGGATATTGCAGAGGTAGCTCATTGAAGATCTTGTATGTTATGTGTGAGATTGAATATATTTGTGGAGAGTAAGTAGCATCTATGAGTGGCTGGGAAGGCATCTTACTTTATGTGACCCTAGCGTGGTGATAAACAACAAGAGAATAATATGGGTTGAGAATTTCTGAAGTCGTGATGGCTTTGTTTTGATGCTAAATCGTGGGAGTTCCTAATAGACTGTTGGGTTAATTTATTCTATTGTTGTTACAAGAAGAGATGGATGGATGCACATAATAATTGTTTATGCGGTGTAATATTTTATTAGGTTTGTGAGACTGAGGTGGATCTTGGTAAATTGAGATTAGCTTGGAAATATTATTTTAGCTGTTTGAGGTAAGTAACCCTCTATCACTGTTGGTTCATTTTTATTCCTATCGAATCGTTTAAAATCATAAATATTTATTTATAGCCTTCGTGTTCTCTTAAAATAAAATATGGGTCAAGTATAAAACAACATCGAATATTATTTTGAAAATTATTTGAATATTTGGTGAAACTATTCTGAAAATTGTACTAAACGTTTATTCTAAAAATATCGAATGTTTTATTTAAAAGTTGTGTATTGTTTGAATTTTGAACATCACTCTAGTCTGACTATGATTTGGACCCCAGCCAATGGGGGTTATTTATTGGCACAGAAACTAGTTTCTTTTGGGGCTTTACCACCGGCCTATGTGTGGTTCTGGGCCTTGTCACGGGCTAAGTGACCGTAGTCATTAAGACTTTGGTTTTGTAAATCAAATCATTGAACCATCTGAATATCGAACTATCGATTTGAACAATGAATTACTTTGAATTATCTTGTTGGCTTTTCATTTAAAATGTATTGTATATTGTTTATTTTTAGTTATGAAACCATCTTACAAATAATTGTTCATTTATTGAACTGTAGAAAAATTTATATTTATTGGTTATCGATTTATTTATTTATTTATTAATACTTGATCCAGCTGGCAGTGATGGTTGGTTATTTACTGGGCTATCTAGCTTACCCTTATTTTTTTTTCAAATTCTGAAGAGTAGAGCTGCGGGGGATTTTTTACATGTGGGAGTGCCGAGAGTAGGACTATGAATTAAGTACTTGGATTATTCGTTTTGTTAATGGATTTTATTAGTGGACTTTGTGGATAATTTCATATGATAAGAATAATCAATTTTTATGGATTTTACCATTATGATAATTAAGGATTTAATTGGAGTATTTACATTGTTGGTTATGTGTTGGACTCTTAGCCTTGCATGCTCACTTAAATGAGTGTGCGGCGTTGTCACGGAGCTTGGGACGCGACACATGTACACATTGAGGGTTCTCTCTCTCTCTCTCTCTCTCTCTCTCCCTTCTCTCTTTGATTTTTAGGTGATCTCTTCCATGTTCAAAATCAACCAACAAAGTTACAAACCCTAATCTTCACTTGTAAAATACTTCTATATTAATCAATGAATTTCCTCACAACCAAAAATGCAAACCAAACACACAGATGCATCTAAGATAGTATTTTACTGTGAAATGGTGGCAAACAAGGCTTGCAAAGGGCTCTGTTTTGTTTAATTTCTATTTAATTTTTGTTTAATTTCTGTTTGGTTGGCAAACAAGGCTTGCGAAAGGCTCTGTATTCACGCTTTTGTTTTAGCTTCTCACGCTCGAGTTGATGTACTCGAGAGGAACCAGTTCCCTAATATTAAGAGCTGTTTAAAAAATGCTTTTTTAGTTCTAAATAGATTTTTTATTAGATTTTTTTTTATCACTAGACAAAAAAGATAGTCAAATAGTAAGGCACATGTTAATAATAAACATGAATTCGTATCTACATTTGATGATAAATAAAACCAGATTAGAAATTCATTCATTTAAAACATTTTTCATTGTGCAATTCAGAGATGAAGTTTGTGGCTATCATAGACTATCCACACCCATCAGTGCAAAATTGCATGTTTATGAGTTCATAGAATATGAATATCTGAGATTGATACATATCTTTTCTATATCAAAATATTTGATCATAAATGTTAAAGACCCATAATTTATTTGCATGTTTATGAGTTCATAGAATATGAATATCTAATTCTTGAATTTCTATGCTCTGAAACACTTTTAATGTCATGTTATTATTGTTCCATTTAAGGAGACTTCAGTTACCATATTATTTGTTCTTCAAATGCATTTTTTTCTTTGTTTAAAAGTTTAGTTGAAGGGAAAATCTTTAGCAGAATGTTTAAAAGTTCATTTTTATTTTTTTTTGTTATTGAATAATTTTTTCTTGCTTATATTTGTAGATTGATGAAGCTCGGAGTTTGGATGAAGCTATTGTGGTTCTTTGGAGTTTGGATGAGTGGATGTTGAATATGTAGCAACTGTTGCTATTTCTATCAATTTCTTGGACTGTTTAATTGTATAATTTAGATGATTGGCTGGATTCTCTTAGACTTAATTTGGATGGTTTGCTTGTGAGTGTGTACTGCTAATTTCTTTTTATTCATGTTGGGCTTAATTTGGATGGTTGTTTGTATGTTTGATTTCTTTTTAAACAAGTTGGACTTTAATTTCTTGTTACTCTTGGGTGATAGTTTGTCTTTTGAATTAAGGCAATTTATTTGAAGAACACGGTTGAAGGTTGAATGAGCTTTCATTTTTTTTGTGTGGAATTAAGTTGAATCTGTAACGCCCTCAAAATAACTACATTAAACCCATCAGATATTACATGCATTTACATATAAACTAACCACATTCCTTTATTCATTAGAGTTCCATTACATAAGTATTACATGTTAACATCATAACAAAATGCCCTACGGGCTTACAGCTTTCCAAGTTAACACTTGGTTACAACAAAAGAGTACTAACTCGTTTACACATAAAGCCCTTGGCTTGAAGTTACATGTAATACATCAAGTGCTAACTCCAATTCCAAAACAGATGCAAATGCAGCAGATACAAAAGAATGAGATGCACCCGTGTCTATCAACACACTAGCAACCGAGTTGCAAAACAGAAATTCCTGTGATTGCTAATATTTGATCCATATCACAGGTGGGGAGCCACTCTGATGAACTCCTTTCTTTTTAATGTGGGACTCATTCTTCTTTGCTCCATCAGGTTGGAATCTTGGATTCTCGACACACTTTATTTACATATTGAAGTTGGAACATGTGCACAGCTAGGGATTTAATCATGATATATGCCCCATAAAAAATAAAATAAAAAACTGACAAATGACATTGAGAGTTTAACCTGCACTTGTCCTGCATGTACTTTAAATCAATAGTTATAGCCTTGTAGTATTAAAAATGTTACGTCTTGTTTCTTATGCCTTTTATTAGAATTATTTACTTTTCAAGAAAAAAATCCTGTTTCTTATAGTTTTAAGTTCTGTTGCCACCAATTTGTGGGTTTTGCATCCTTATGTACATATTTTTTTCTTTCTGGTTAGAGACATTGATTGAATTACAGGCTGAAGGAAAAAAAAAATGAATATAACATATCAATTAAATTTTACTTATGCATTATATTAGACATTGCAGAAGTTGGTCACCTTGCTGACATCTCGTTTATAGTTTTGCTTCTCCGTCCGTCCCGGGAATATAATTCCTTGGTTTTGTGTTTGATAGTGATCGTTGTTGGTTTTGCTGTTTTTCAGTGTGATTCAGTTCTGTGCAACATCATTTGCATACTATGCTCAAGCTACTGCTGCACAGGAAATATTCGGTCACACATTGCAATCTCTTCGTGGAATCAAATATTTATACAAGTCAGTCACAACTCTTCTCATGAACTTCTGATCAATATTAGACATAAAATACTCATCCAGTTGTACTGTATTGCAGGTATAATGTGTTTCAAATAGCGTTCATTGCCTTGGCCGGACTGACGTTTGTTTTATATGCTGCCTTTGTAAGTTTATGTGCTGCCTTTTGTCTTTCTTTTAGGTAGCTTGAACCTGAAGGCTCATTTCTATTAGTTTTGTAATTTTTCAGGGATGGAAAAGAAAAAAACCAAGCGGCAGATTCCAGCTTTCCGCTTGAAGCATGTATTGCCTTGAAGAGAGTATGCATCTAACTTGATCTTACTTACGGAATCTGCAGTTGCACAAATTATTGTGAATGATTTAGGTCAGATGCATATATGGCCTAGAGATTTGTTCGATGTTGTTGTCTAGAGAAAGTAGACAGACCTCATCCGAGTTAAACTTTGATTACTACAAAATAGAAAGAGTTGTGCTACTGCTGTTTTTCTTATTTCCCTGCCTTTTGTATGTATTATGCCTTTGTTTGTTTGATTTTGTCATGTAATATCTTTGGCATGCGTGGGGACTAGTTTGAGGACTACCCTTGATGTATTTATATAGTGAATGAAAACCAAAATTTCTTGACTGGTCAGTTAGTGATTCATGTGTGCTTTAATTACTTGTTTTGTAAAGGTTAAAGAAATAAAACCCCTGAAAAGCTTAAACAGTTTGTATGTTGGAGCTTTGCATCATGTGATATGTTTGGACGATGGATTTATATTAATGAGATGAGTTTTGTATTGACCAAGTTCATCAGATGAATTTCAGAGTGGTCAAGTGCATTGTGCTTTTCAACTGGCAGTTTACTCATCATCAAATACACAGACAGTCTCGTTTCATAAAGTATATTGACCCTGCCATACCCAATTCGTGCAGAAATTATCTAGCAAGTCGAGAATACTTTGGTTTTTTTTTTTTTTTGAGGTTAAAAACCAGTGCATATGAACGAGGACATAACAAAAATGTGAATAATTTGATATTTACAAATACAAAACTAAAGAATCAATTAAGAAAAATGGTTTTCAACTCGAGAGGGTTGATTGTGTCTCATAATTTAAAAACTATTACAGCCCCCAAGCAAAACACAAGTGTGCCTCATTCTTGGCAATAAAATCACTGTTGCTGCTGGAGTATTAAAAAATAATAATTCAAATTCATGCCATTTTAAAAATAATTTTCAAACTCAACAGCTTTGAATTTATTTCTTAAATTTGTAGTATTATTTTGTAAAGTTGATTATAGGACTTTAGATTTACAGTTTGTTTTGAAAATAAATGTTTTAAGAAACGAATTTAATAAATTTATTGTGAATTTTTTTTAATTCTTGTCGTCAAAATATAACTTCGAGCCAGAAGTCTTTTTTAAAAATACAATTTTAAAAAATAAATTCAAAACAACTCACATTAACATATATATATTTTTTTGGGTAATAACTCAGGTTTCTTAAAAAAACCGGCTTATGCTATCGGCCAAAAAACACTTTTGGAAAAAAAAATGAGTTTATTGATTTATTTGGATCACATCACCTCTGTCTTTCTCTCTATTTTTTTTTCTTACATTTTTAAAATAAAAAACCAATAAGCCAAAAAAAAGCCAATATTAGGATTCATTTGTGAAGAACTTTTTTAATTTAACTTTTTGACTAATTTAATTTGACTAAGGCCTATTTTAAAAAATAGTTTTTTTCCTTTTTCTAATTTATTGGCTTTTTTTTTTTGAAAAAATATGCAAAAAAAGAAAAGAAAAGAAAAAAAAAATTATGTGACCTAAATAAGCCAATAAATTTTTTTTTTCTTAATTGTCAAAATAGACCTAAATTAATTCTGTTTAAAAAAAACTTTTTGACATTTTTATAAAAAAATAATTATAATTTAAATGTAACATTTTTATTATATTAACTTATTTATTTTTTTCCTTTTTTTTTTTCTGATCTCATTTCAAGCCATAACTGTTAAAATAGTTTATAGATTATAGCTTAACAAATTATAAATTATGACTTTAATCAGAAGTTGTTAATCTATTTGGTGTAGCTGTTGGATTATAGATTTAAGTTGCTGAATAGTGTTTGTTAAATAAGCTGTGAAATAGTTTTTCAGTTAATTTTTATTTTTTATTTGTCTACATTTCTCATAAAAAAATAATAATAATAATTTATAATCCATTTGAGTCTTTTTTTATTTTAAAAAAAATAAAAAATAAAAAAATTTAAGAGTATAACTATAAATTAACATGTCCACAGCAGAAGCTGATAATCAGAAGTAAGGAATGAGCAGTTTCTCAGAATCAATTTTTTTAAATTAAAATAAATTATTAAAATAAAAAATTATTTAAAATAAATTTAAATATACAGTCCAAGCTAAAAATCGTAAGTAGGGTATGAAAAGCCGAAACAAACGCCCCCAATTAGGTCCAGTAAAGCAGAAGCAGAAGCAGAAGCAGAGAGATGGATTTTGCTATCTTCTCCCCATCTTCGCTTTTCGCCGACAACGATGGCAGCTCTACCGGTAACTCTCTCTCTGTCTCACTCTCTCTAGCTTGCTCAGTTTCATATCGACAAATACACGGTGTTGTTTGCAGATGAGGAAACGATGGAGACCCATCAGAGCTACGCGGAGAGAAGGCACCAATTTCCTGGAATGGTTAGTGTAATCACGTTTTGCCCTAAATTTTAATCAATTGCTTAATATTTGTGTGATTTATCTGTGTTTCTAATGCTAATTCTCTTGATTTTTGTTAGTTTCTAATAATTTGTTTGCGTAACATTTTGAATGATTTCTTCTACTGTTTTTCGTTTGATTCTCAATTCAGATTTTGATACAGAACCCAAATGACTATAATATACTATACTATACTATCTATTAGAACAAATTGATTGAGTTATCAAACATTTGGCCTTCGTAATTTTGATTATCTGGACAACCAAACGTGTTATCTTGTCTTACGTGGCTAGTGTGGTTGGAGCGTAATCGGCGGGCATTTTTGGGGGAGATGCGTTTGGCGGTTTGGTTGGAGCGGCATTTGCTCCTCGTGTTGCATAGTTGGTTAACGCTGACTGTGGACCTGGCTGTTTTGTCTTTTGTTGATTTTGTAGAGGACTTGTCTTCATAGTTCTTTTGCTTGCTTTTGCCTTGATGTTTTGTGCAGTTTCGGTTTAGGCTGCTTCTAGTTGTTAGACTACCATTTGTATTCTTTGCATTGCCTTGATGCCTTTTAACAAAGTTGGTTTATTTATCAAAAAAAGAAAAAAGAAAAAAAAAAAGCGTGTTATCTTGGTGATTTTCTAGAAATGAACCATCCTAAGATGAACTACACAACTTGTCTTCTGCGATTTTCTTGATAATTTGTTCATCAATCTTTGGGTTTAGCTTTATTTTTCGACGTGCTTGTTCTCTAGCAAAATGATTTGTTTCTTGATCTTTGATCCATATTTATTAGGTGTGTTATAACATCATACGTTAATGGGTTACCTGCAGGAATTGCTCATTCGAGAATTTTCTTTTCACGAGTTGAATGCTAATTTACTTTGGCCGGGGACATTTTCATTTGCAGAATGGTTACTTCAACACAGGTCATGGGTAGAAGGACGGCACACGATTGAATTGGGCAGGCATGTCAAATTGTTTTTCTTGCACTTAGTTGTCCCTTTTCAATTATTTTATGTTGTTTGGTCATTTTTATCATCCTTGTATCTCAGTGTGTACAGGACTGATATGTAAGTACAGAATTTTCTGTTAGTTTGAGTATTTTCATATATGTAATTATATTCCTGATGTTCACTCTTGTATTCTATGCCAGTGGAACTGGGGCTTTGGCCATTTTTCTGAGAAAATCATTTCAATTTGACATCACTACCTCAGACTATGATGATCAAGAAATTGCAGAGAACATAGCTCATAATTGTAGAGTTAATGGAATTTCTCCCGTCCTTCCTCACATTAAGCGTGAGTTCTTTTTCTCTTTCATACGGTAACGAAGATAGATCCAAGAAAATATTGGTGAGGACTATCAATAAGATTTGATGCCTTTGACCTTCATTCTCATGATTGGTGGAATTTTTTTGTATTTTTCATTGTAAAATTAGACTTTTAGGGAATGAACAATATGACATGATAGCTATAGTAGATCCCTCGTTTGTATGCCTTTTAACTTTTTTCGTAAAATATGATGACAAACGTAGTATGCATTTATGTTTTCAGATTCATGGGGGGATGCCTTTCCATCTGCTGACCCAGATTGGGATCTGGTTATTGCTAGCGATATTTTATTGTGTAAGTTCCTAATCTGAAATTGGCTTCTGAACATCTAGAAATGTACTTTACTATGAATAGGCAATCTGACTTTGACTCAATACACCAGTATGACAGACATATTTTCATCACTCGATTGTTAATGGAAAGACATTAAAGGATATAGGAAGTCTGGAGAAACGAGCTATAATTCTAGAAACAACATCGTGTATATATTTTTCTCTCAATCTTGCTGTCATTAGGTGGGCTGCAAATAAAAGGAGATCCTTGGCAGTTTGTTGATGTATCTAGGTTGTTGACCTTTCTTCTAGAACGATTGATATTTTGGCTCCAAGATTGGCCTCAAAAGTTGCAATCACTTTTGAGGAGTATTAAGGAACTTTATGCCACTAGAAATGAGGTCCTTTCTTTGGTTTCCTAGGACGTTTTTACTTCTTCATCCATTTCCTCTAAATGAGTAATTATGGCTCTTGAAATCAAAATTAGCTTTTAAGTTTGGCGTTTAAGTTTGTAATTCTGCCTTCCATGGAGGTGCAAGTTGGAGCAAGAGTTGTGTCCCATGTCACTTCTTTCACTTGTTTCGGACACAGATTCACTTACGCCTCCATGAAAATGCAATTATCTTGAGTTGTTCCCATTTAAATACAAATTTTCTATTTAAATGCATATATATATATATATATATTTTTTTTTTTTGATTTTTTATTTAAAGTTCCTTTTTTCCTTGCTGCTTGTAGATGTGAAACAGTATGCTAATCTAATAAAGACTCTATCCTTTCTTCTCAATTCTTACAAGCCTAAACTTAATGAATTAGTTTCTCTGAGGAATAATGAACAGAATGGAGGTAAATTCTATCTAATTTCGTCATTTTTATATATAGCAGAGACATCAAGTTACTGATTATTTTTTACTTTTTGCAACAGAAACGTGCTTGGGGCTGCCCTGCCCGGCATTTTTAATGAGTTGGAGACGCAGAATTGGAAAAGAGGACGAGTCACTTTTCTTCAACGGGTGTGAGAATGCTGGTCTTGAAGTACAACATTTAGGATCCCGTGTGTATTGCATTAAGCCAAGAGAAACAACATAGATTTTCAGTAACTGTAGCTAATTCCCAGTTGAGAAGCTGCAATTCAACATTCACTCCATGCTAGGCCACCTTCCTCCGCCGCTGCCTCCTCCGGAGATTTGGTGTCAAATCATATTTCTGGCTTCCACTGATCGGAGAACTTGTTTATTATTCCCACAAAAAACCCCCCTCTGATTTTTCTCAGCACAAAGCACTCACAATTCTTAAATACTGTGGTACCTCGTGAAATTTGTTTGGTTTGATTTTGATTTTTTCTTCTTTTTTTTTTTGTTGCGAAAAAGTAGAAAATAATTTAACAAAAATAAATACTAAAAAGATATTTTTGAATTTTTATAAATTATTTTTAGTGTTTAAAAAGATAAAATTATATAGAAATGATGGGTATTTCTTATTTTTTCATTAAATTAAATTTTAATTTTAAAAATAATTTAAAACCAAACCAAACAACATATGCTAATCTTTTTAGAAGTTGGTTTTCAAAAGGAAGAGCGATTTTTTAAGAACTTATAATTTTTTTTTCCTTCTTATTTTGAGCCTGAAGTTAATTAGAATTAGAAATATCTATACTATATATTAAGTAAAAAGGGGCTTTGAACCTAAAGCCTTGTGCGAGTTTCAATCTCTCAATCTAAATTTTTTGATTTTTTGATTTAAAAAAAAAAAAAAACCTTTGCATTTATTAACTTCTCTTAACTTTCAAGTCTTACTCTCATAATAACACTTTAATGCATTAAGAACAAGTATAAAAAAAAAAAAAATTTGAAATCCAACACATTAATTCTTTGAAAAGTCTCAACAGATATGATTATTATTCCTCATAATAACATTTTAATGCATTAAGAATAAGTATAAAAAAATTTCTTGAAAAGTCTAACGCATATGATTATTATCAAAATATTAAATTTTAATATAATATAATAAAAAAAAGAAGACATTTAATTACTTGAAAAGTTTAACACATATGATTATTATCAAAATATTAAACTTTAATATAATATAAAAAAGGAAAAAAAGAAGACATTTAAAAAAAAAAAAAGACATTTAAAAATCGCAATTCACATATATAGATAACTGTAAATATATTAAGAAAAAGGGGTTTCTAAACCCCAAGTCTTGTGAGAGCTCCAATCTTTCAATCTTAATTTTCTAATTTTTTTATTTTTAAAAAAAATCTTAGCATTTATTGATTTGGTTAAAATCCCACGATCAGCATTTATTAACTTTTTTTAATCCACATACCTGCATTTATTGATTTTTTCAAATCTCTGATTAGCATTTAAATCCCCTCATATAAATAATTATAGATGCAACTGTTGCATAGTTACTGCAGTAGTTTTTTTAATTTCTCCTGTACACTATGGTTGTGATAAGATGTAAATATTTTATAAAAAATCTTTAAAAATATAATTTATATATTAAAAAATATATAAATATATATAATTATCCCGTGCATAGCACGGGTGATAGGCTAGTATATTACAACCCTAGTATATTACATAAGCAAAAGGGGAATTAACTCACAAGGCTTTAAAGAGCTCCAAATTGCCTAATTTTTAATTTTTAAAAATTAAAAAAAAATTCTATTGGCTAGCTCTTAATCCAACGAAAAATATATAAAAAAAATTAATATCCTTTGATTTATGACTTTCAAATGAAAAGTATATCAAGTTTAAAAAAAAATAAAAAGTATATTAATCTATTTTAAAATTTAAATTTGTGGATCACTAAATATGGAAATCAATATATTAATTTAAATTTTAAATTGGCACAATATAAATTTAAAATTATAGTGATTTATCTTATGATTTGTAAGTTTTAAATAAAAATTTAAAATTATTATAATTAGCTCATAATTTTTGTATTTAGGAGCAATAAGAGTGACATTGACATTATTTATATATTTTACAAAAAAAATACTTTTAAGAAGAGATATTACGAGAGTTTCAAAACTTTATACAAAATTTGTATACTATTATAATTGTAAAACTGTCATCTTATTAAAGTTTAAAGTTAAAATTTTTATTTTTTTTGGTTTAATTTTTGTTAATATGTGTCACAATATGATTGGTTTATTAATTAATTTTATTTTCTTAAAATAAAATTTTAAATTTCGATTCTTCTTTAAATTATGTTACAAGTATAAGATCAATATTCATTTTTTAATTTATGCATCTTTTATTAAATTATAAAATAAAATTTTAAATTTAAATTCTTTTTTAAATTATGTTTTTACATCACAATGAAATTAATATTCATATGTATCATAATGATGTGTCATAATATGTCATTAAATACACGTATTCAAATTATTAATCGCTATATTTGGTAAGGTCAAATTTCTCTGTGATATGTTTAGGGACCTTAGACATCAAAAAATAATTTTGTGGATCTCTCCCATTATGAAAAGTGGGAGAGGGACCCTAGACCAATTTCCCCAAAAAAAAATTATATCCTTCTAAACTATAAGGACTTAAATAATAAATTTTTTTAATACAATTTTTTTTCTTAACAAAAGACAAAAAGATTAAGAAAATTATGATTTTTATAACAATTGCCAAATATAATAGATTCTATTTATTTATTTAATCTCAATTGTCAATTAGACAAATTAAAATAAAAAAATAACATTTTTTAACTTAAATAGTTAATAAGTGACTTTCGTTAAAATTCCTTTGTTGCGATCGGAATGAGATATTGAGAGTTCGTTTGGGATATGAGTTGACTTTTTAGATTTTTGATTTTTTGGGTATTTTAGTTGGGGATTAAAAAGTCTCGTTTAAGATAGATTTTTTTGACTTTCTTGACTTTTATTAGAAAAAAGATAAAATAATTATGATTTAAATGTAACATTTTACCTTATTAACTTTTTAATTTATTTTATTTTTTTTATAACTATTTTAACCAACAAATCTCACGACTTTTTCTTTCCAAACCAGCTCTGAAAGTGTTACCAGTGAAATCAGAATGGCGATCTAAATGCGTATCTAAGAAATAGAATTCTCTTACTTCGAATAAATTTTTTATTAATTCCAAACATGATCTGGTCATCATCTACCACTATTTTTCAGATTTTGTAAATCTTTCCCATAAGTCCAAACTTGGACCAAAATTGTTCCAATGAGGCTATGTTTGACATGATGGCTAGAGTTAGATTGGGTTATTTTAGTCATAAAAAATATATATTTTTTAATATTTAATAAAATAAAATATCATATGTCAATGAAAAATATTTTTCGCAGTCAATAGATAACAAGTCTGTATAGATAGAAAATATTTCTACTTTTAAAAGGTAGAAAACGTTTTTCAAACTAAAGTCTTACTAATGTCACTACATTTCACTGTCACTCTCACCTCCACCATCGCACCACACAACCATCACAATAGCCACTTCACCGCCGCCACCACCCCGCCACCATGTCACCATCTCCATCTTCATTTTCGTTTCACCACCATCACTAAATGTAGAAATTTTTTTTTTTCATTTCACCATCATTTAGAAATGTTTTTCACTCAAATACATGAAGAGTAAGATAAAACCAATACATTGCTTTAAATATGAAGTTTAAATTTTTATACTAATTATATTTTGTGTATTATTCCACCAATAAAACGAGTGTCTGGACAAAGTTATAAAAGTCATGTGCCATTAATTATTTTTTCCAACTCTAGAATTTTTGTGGTCTACCGCACTTGCACAGAAATAACATTTAAACTTTTTTATCATTATTTTCTTTTGAGTTTGACCCACCACATGATAAAAATCATTCCACACTAGTTAAAATTATCCTATTTTTGTAAATACTAATTTGAGAAATTGATTTTATTAATCTATTTATATTTTAAATAAATTAAAATTATATATATTTATAATTTATTTTAAAAAAATTTTGACGAGATTTTTTATCAGAATTAATTTTTCAACGAGCCATTTTATATCAGCAATAGAAATCGTGATTTCAGCTGACCATGTGGGGTCTACTTCAATCAATGCGAACTTTTTTTAATACGGTGATATTATATGTATTAATTAACATACATATTGTATTAACTAGTGTTATGATATTATTATTGGCCATATTTATTATACAAGTTACAAATATTTAATATTATACAAATGATGTCACATCATCTGTTAGTATATTAATGCGTACATTAAGTAGTACATATAACATTATTCTTCAAATAATCTACCAAATGTTTTATCAAATTTCTCACATGAGTAGAGCTGTGCAAAATATCGTCCAATTCGTTAAAACCGCACCGATCCACATCAATCCGCACCGTTCTAACCGCTAACCGCGGTTTAAACTTTAAAATTTATAATCCGTCAACCGAACCGCTCCGCTTTGCTATAATTAATACGTGTATATTTTTTAACTTCCAATGAAATATCAATGTAAAAATGAGTGTGATAAATATTTAAGATATGAAATTTATTACAAATTAGTGGTTATATCTATGAAACATATTATGTAAAATTACTGTGTTATATATCTAAAAAATATTATATAAATTAGTGTTATATATTATGCAAATGTATGATAATTAGTTAGAATATTCTTCAATCTGCCAAAATCCGTCCAAACCGCAATTTGTCAATTCGCTAATCCGTTAACCCGCCATTCGGTTTGTAATTTTACTCTCAAACCGCCCGAACCGCACTGCGCACACCTCTACACATGAGTGTGGGACTCACACAAAGATCTACACCTACATGAGAGGTTTGATAAATTATTTGATAAATTATTTAGGATCTCTAGCATTATTGTTTAGGGTGTCCTAAATAAGTGCACTTTTTATTTTTTTAGAAAGTTGAGAAAAAAATATGGAAGTTTGGGTTAACTTTTTGACTTTTTATGAAAAAATGTGTATTAAAAAATTGTATAAATAAGTGTATAGGAGAAGATAGTGTAGTACACACGTACGAATTGGCAGTCAACCGGCTAGGTGAATACATAAAAAAAAATTGCCTCATTTTCGGCTTTGATTGGATGGTGTTGTTTGGTCCATGGGGGCCCACCACAGGTCCCTTTTTTCTAATCGAAACCGTTCAATGTGTAGAACTCATCGACTGTTATCTGTTTGTAAAAAATCACGTTGATTGGATATCGATAGCTATCTGATCGTGTTAGTTTTTTTGTCAACTGTTAACTATAGCACCATCCAATTTTTATACAAAACTGATTTGATCATATAGTTAACGATATCCGATAGACGTGATTTTTTACAAGCATATAGTACTAAACGAGTTATACATCTTGAACGGTTTGAATTATCAAAACGGAATCCATGGTAGGCCCCCATAGGCCTAATTTTACCATCAAACTTAGTGAATGTACACATAACATTTTTTTTTTTTGGCCCTTTCCTTGTAGTTGGCTTGGCATCAGACATTGATGGGACAAAAAGTTTATTTATATTTTAATACTTATATATTAATTTTTATATATATATTTTTTAGTAAATAATAATAACTTTTTAACTTTTTTTTTAATAATTTTTTAATTTTTTTTTTTACGCTTGTCAAACCAGCTAGTTAGTTATGGTTGCATTAATGTTGTGGAAAATGCCGTGTTACTACTTGCAATGCAACTACCAATTGGAAGAGTTATTGGGTAGGTTCGGTTTGGCTTTGTGGAGTGATTTTGGATTTTTTAAAAAAAAAAAATTGTTTGGTTTATAATTTTTTTAAAATAATTTTTAAAATCACTTTTTATTTCTTATACATTAATCAATTACTTTTTCTCTCTCCTCTCTCATTCTTCAATCATTTTTTCTCTCACATACATCTACTCAATTACAACAAAAAAATCAAATCATTCTAAATTCTCAAACTCCAAAACTACTTTCAAAATACACAACCAAACAAATTAAAAAAAATTCTAAACTTTCTCTCCAAAATAATTTTTAAAAACTACTCTCTCAAAACCAAACCAAACCAAACCAAACCAAACATATGCATTATTTTTTGGGGAATTGACCTATAAATCCCATATGAATGAATTGTAGACCATGCAGTCCCAATTGTTTTATAATAATTCCAGAAGTCCCATTTTTAAGTGTATCACGTTTTTACCCATGGGGATTGATTTTAATGTTGAGTTGTTCAGGTTGCATAAATCATGGGGCTACCACGTTTGGAAAAAGCGTCCTATAGACTTTTTTGTGGTGGTACATTGGGTTGGTCTAGCCACATGACCGAAGCCCAGTTTTGGCCCAAAAATCTACCCACATTAATTCTGTCGGGTCAACCCACACCGTACTCAACGTTGATGATACAGTGTACATACTCCATAACATTTGTATATCTTGGTGATGTGGTAGACGATTCGGAAAACCCTCATTCACCGACGTTGGCCGAAAATTGTCCATCTTCCATTGTACAGCGAGACATCAACCTCTCCAGTCGTCGTGATTGGTGTCCTGTAGCCAAACCACTTGTGGCAACCACATAATTTAGGAAAATAATGTGGAGAATCAATTCTGTTTGTGTTATAGGGTGTTTAGAGGTGGACCATATCGGGTTAGTTCTGATAAACGAGGCAATAACGTCAGCAACTTTTTAGGTGTGGTGTGATGGTGTGGATTGTGAACAGGTAACGTGAACACTACGTTGAGCATGACGGCAACATTATTACCACCATACGCACACAACATCAAGTTGTCCCCCAACTGCTGCAATGGAAAAAAACACCCCCGGTTAAAATCAGAAAGAAGAACGACGGTGTAACATGAAATTATAGAGATGAAAACATAATCCAAAATAACCGACCCAACACGCCATTATTGACCGTATTTTTGCCCCAACACGAAAATGAACCCACACCACACGCCACAAACCCATGCTATGAAAACAAAACAGCCACATAGTAACATAGATGAATACGTTACCTGTTCGCAAAAAATCGAATCCTACGTCCGGAGCATCTCAAACTGAAGCCACACCTCAATATGCATTCAAATACTCGTTGAATATCACCACCACCACATAATCAAACTCCCCAACCTGGTAACATCATAAGTGGGATGCCTCCACATCCTTACCAAACATGTTACATACAAGAAAGGGGTAAAAAAGTCACATAATCCACACCCCAAACAATACAAGGGATTTGATTGTAAACATTACCATAAAAATAGAACTTCCCAGAGTATTAAAAATAAAAAAGGATCTCTCGATCCAAAACTCTCCCAAATGGGATTTTCTAATAATTTTTCCTTATTTTTATAATTAAAAAATAAATAATATTAGGTGGGCCTCTCCATGCTTTTCACGCTAGAGCTCAAGTTAGTTAGGTGTTGTTTGGTTTTTGAATTGGGCTAAAAAATTATAAAAGGATAAATTTTTTTTAAAAATCACAAAAAGTCAAATATTACAAAAGGACAAAAAAAAAATATTATCATTTCAAAACTAAAACCTCAAAAAAAACCAATCAAGAATACCAAATGAACAAAAAAGTCCCAAGTTAAAAAAAATCAAAAATGCCAAAAAACTAACTAAAAAAGTCATTGCCAAACGAAAGCTTAATTTGTTTGAAATGATGTTTTATAATTGAGTAATGTTAAATATTAAAAAATTCTATTAAATTTTTTATTAAATATCTTATAGGGATGTGGGACTCACATGATAATGTAAGTTCACACCCATATAATATAAAATATTTGATAGAACTTTTGATATTTTTTTTTGAATTTCTAGCATTTTTGTTTATAATTTGTAAATAAAAACAGCGTTTGTGGGTAGAAGTTGAAATAAATTTATATTTTATACTAATAAAAATGAACTATTTTTAGAATGGCATATTTATTAAATAAAAGTTAATTTATATTTTTATTTTTTTACACATCTAATAAAAAATCAAAAAAATATTTAAAAAGTTAATCACTAAAATAATCCATAGTCTTAGGGACAGGTTCACAGGACAAAAGTTATGAATTTTTTCTCTCTAATAATTTTTATATGTATAATAAATTTAGAAAATGTTTGAGATCCAAAAAAAAAATTGGCGGATTGGATTAGAGGAATTGCAATCCATCGGATGGTTAATTCTAAATAAATAATCCTTGAACTATTTGGTTGAAAATAGTATGTATCCATGTTTGTTTTCTCATAGAATTGGATGTTTGAAAATGACTATCTTAGTGAATCCAATGCTTGGTTAGAATATTATGAAAAAAGATAAATCCTCAAAAGATTATTTTATCATTTTTTAATTGTTTACTAAGTAATAGCAATAATAAATCTACCTTTAATTTTTATTTTATTTTATTTTATTTTTGGCTAGAAATTCTAAAAAATTAAATAAATAAAACATCAATAAAAGTTAGATAAATTTATTTTAAATTTAATTAAGACTTTTTAAATTTTATTTTATTTTACTAAGTACAATACATAATGAAACTAAACATTTGTCTATATGATAGTGAAAAAAAAAATTGAATCTTTATCCCACCATTTGAAAAAATTAAATTGTTATTCCAAAGAAATTTAAAAAAAATAAAATTAAGATACATGTATTTGGGAGGTAAAAGTATCTTTTTACTAGTTAATCTTATGGGATTGTTATCCCATCATTTGTATCCCCTCATTTTTCTATGACACAACAATCCCACATATGAAAGACATGAAATCCAGTTGGATTCCTAATCTGGCCAACAAATTTTTAACCAAACAATTAACATATAAACATAGAGTCCGATCCCCCCTTCCAATTTTCCCAAATAAACACCTCCTAATTATATAAGGCTCAACTCTCTTACTTGTAAGTGAATTTGTGAATCTAAAAATGTTGGTCTCATTATTTTAGTCAAAAATTCCCTCCTTTTTTAATCCACATTTCTTTGTAAAAAGTAAAAAAAAAAAAAAAAAACTAAAAGAAATATTTTTCAAAATAGGCACTAGCAAGGATAAATTATATTAATCACTTATATAATGGAGAAATTGTAATGAAGTATATAATTTTGATGAAATTTTATTGATCTTCTCTACAATAAAAAAACTTAGTGATAAAATTACTATACCATTCTTAAACATTTTGGTACTTAAATATACAGCACTAATAAGAAAAAAATTGTGTCATTTAAATATGTGAAAAAAAATTTATTTTAAATATAATTCATAATACACTACTCTAAATTTATAATTAATCTTTCAAAATAACAAAGATTACTACTATGTTTGATTCGATTTTTAAATTTTGTATTTTTATTTTTTTAACTGAAAAAATTGATTCAAACATTAATTTTTTTTAAAATTAAAATAAATAAATAAATATATTTTTACCCAGCGTGTGTGATCCCTTGTGTATTATGAATAAATAAATAAATATATGGCGTATTTTTACAAAAAAAATTTCTAATAAATAAATAATTCGCTCTTCGTTTCATTTGCTTCTCCACTCTCTCTCTCTCTCTCTCTCTCTGCAACTTCTTCGCATTTCCTTATCTTCTTCTTCATCCACAGTTTTACAGAGGAAGCTATGGAGATTTCCTCAATTCGACTACAACCCAACAAAATTCGACCTACTGACAAAGCCATACTAGTCTTTCGAGACATTCCGGATCTCATTCCTCCTCGAAATGGCTTCGCCGAACCAACCCACGACCAGCTATGGCCAAACAGGTGGTTAGCCCCCTAAGACTATGCCATTTGTTGATTCAAGTTCCGTGCTGCTCACCACTCCTCGAGGCCAAGGACGGGGTCGAACCGTCATTCTAGGATTTGTAATTCTCCGGCAATGCTCCTGCTGGCTCTGATGCCAGTGTTTGTGGGTTTGCCTCTGTTTCGATGGCGGAGGATAGAGGGTTCTCTCCGACGACGGCTCAGCTCTTGAAGCACCCGGTGGCAATGGTTGCATTGGTGCCCAAAGACGTGGCGCTCTTCGCCGCCGGAGCGATTGCCGGCGCCGCCGCGAAGACCGTCACGGCTCCTCTTGATCGTATCAAGCTTCTTATGCAGGTTCGATTTTGTTTTGCATTTCACTTGAACTTCGCAATTCGGTCTTCAAGCATCGTCACTTTGAATTCTAGGGTTTTTGTAATTATGATTTGTATGTTTGATTTTAAATTTTATTGTTGAATTTAAGAAATTTGAGATTAGAGTCAGTCAATGAATGTGATTGGGATTGTTGATTTGTAGTCTCAAATTTTCTGGTCTGTTTGCAGACTCATGGATTGCGAGCTGGCCAAGAAGCTGCTAAGAAAGGAATTGGGTTCATTGAGGTATGTTACCTGTTAATGTACACCTCCTACACCACTAAAACCTACCACTACCACTACACACCTCCACTACTCCTCACCCACTCCACCTACCACCTCCACTTTACCTACTACCACCACTCACTCTACACCTACTACTCCCAAAACCTCTCTATATATAGGACTTGTAATATACAGATAAAATTGTAATTGTAATCTAAATCAATATATACGACAATCAATCAATAATAAATACATACATTTTTACATGGTATCAGAGCCAAGTTAAGAAGCTAGTAATTTCGCTTCACCAGCGGGCGGCAGCCTCGCCTTGGCCGCCCGCCGGACCTCTCATCTTCCAACTATTTCTGCATGCCGGATTTTCATCCATCAAAACCAACACCACCTCGCTGCCGTCATCCACTTCTCCACCACCACCTGCAGCTTCATCTCCGCCGCCGACCTCGGCCAAGTCCGGCTACGCCATGCTGCCTCGTCCCGATACAACCGTTCATCTTCAGCTTCTTCACTCGCACTCTCATTGGCGCGGACACGGCGGCTTCACCTGAAATCTCCAGTTCCGGCTACGCCATGCTGGACATCTGGCTCGCTCTCCAGCTCCTACCCACCGTCAAGGACCGCTCAATCCTACCCACTGAGTTAAGACTTGGCCTACCAGGATCCCAATCCCCCGAACAAGATTCAGATCTTAGCCAGCTGAGCTCGGGAAATTTGAGGAGAAGCCCTTGTTTCCTTTGGTCCCTTCAAAAGATGGAATCTATTCATCATCACAAAAGACTGTTGTTTCAGGCAGTCTCTCTCCATGAACCAACTTCTTAATATAATATCACCCCACTCAACTTTCTTTTTCTTTTTTATTATTTTACTCCATCATTTGAACAGCACCCGAAACACCAATTGATTTGCCCGTGCCTCTCTTTTCTCTCTCTCTCCCTTTACACCCTCTCTTTCCTTTCTTTTTCTTTTAATATTTACCTCCACTACCTTTTATCTTTCCAATACAACCACCATCTTAATCTATTCTTATTACCCCACTTTCTCTCTCTCATATTTTCACTTTTCAATCCCCCGAGGCACATGTTTTCGCCCTTAATCTATTCTTATTATTATTATTACAAAAAAATATATATATATACAAAACCAAATACCAAACCCATTGCAGGTTTTCACAAAACCGTGGGCCACGACACCTTTTTTTTTCATTATTATTTCTTTGCAACAAAAAAAAAAAAAAAAAAAATAAAAAAATAAAAAAATAAAAAAAAACAAAAAAAAAACAACAAACAAGCTCCTCCCAAATTGTAGGTGCATACTCCTTCCAATTTAGATCCTTATTCTAATTTGATGAAGAAGCAGAAGAAGATGAACAAGAAAAACATGAATGTTCATTCAAGAATGAATCCAACAACCCCAAATTTCCACCACCTAAGAAAGTCACACCACAGCTGAAAGGCTCACCATCTTTCACCTGCAGCGAAAACAAGTAGTGCAAAGCATCAAGCTTCACTACTGGTTCATCTTTTGTCAAAGGCCATTAAAGATCATCACCAACTTTGATATTTTATTTGAAAGGAGCAACAATGGAGGCATGGGTGGTGTGTGAGGATGAGAGCATCAGTTCAAATATTTTTACTTTATTATTGGTAGGACAAGCTGTGTGTGCTATTTTTCTAATCACATTGCCAAACAGGTACACAGCTGGAGAACATCGGAAAAATAGATTGCGCCCGAACGACCTGTCACTGGAAGAAAAGACTCCGGCGGTGGTTCTTCCACCCACTTTCTCCGTTGTATGTGAAGGATAAGGAACAATTCACGTTGGCCACAAATGGAAGAACAAGTAAGATACTTTTATCATATTGTCCATAGTATACTATTTTCATAACTACGGGATTATTTGGAAAGTAAAAAAATAATCAAAAGGTTATTATTAAAGTCAACTTTTCTCGTTATATTTTTACACGTTAGCTAATTCCCAAACAAATCGCATATAACTAAATTGTACCTTTTAAAGTTAAGATGCATTCAAACTTCAAGTTACTGATCAGACATATGAGCTAAAAATATAACGACATTGTTTTTATATGTTAGAATATAATAGTAGTATATTAGCTAGCTGTATATGAGTTGTCTACCAACCAGCTTTCATAATGTTGTTCCTTAGTGCATTGCTTCTTTCGGCCACTTTTGGTCCCTCTGTACACACTCTCCCCTATAAAGGAGAGTCTTCTCTGAACATTGTAAATATACATTCAATATACATAAACATCAATTCAATACACAATTTATTCTCTCTCTTTCTCTGTATATTAAATTAACATGATATCAGAACTATAAGATTTAGGCCTGTATTTCTTTCTCACCAGCGAGCAGCCAGCCGGCAACTTTGCCTTCGCTGCCCGCTGGAATTTTCTACATACCTTCTCTTTCTGCAACTTCTTCGCATTTCCTTATCTTCTTCTTCATCCACAGTTTTACAGAGGAAGCTATGGAGATTTCCTCAATTCGACTACAACCCAACAAAATTCTACATCTCCCGGATACCACTTGTATGACTCGAGATTCTATTTCCTTAATGGGTTCTGCTCCCTACGCATGATTTAATATGACCAACAACTCCATACCACCAACCATAAGGGACTACTGACAAACCCATACTAGTCTTTCGAGTCATTCCGGATCTCATTCCTCCTCGAAATGGCTTCGTCGAATCAACCCACGACCAGCAATGGTCAAACAGGTGGTTCTCCGGCAATACTCCTGCTGGCTCCGGCGTCAGTGTTTGTGGGTTTGCCTCTGTTTCGATGGCGGAGGATAGAGGGTTCTCTCCGACGACGGCTCAGCTCTTGAAGCACCCGGTGGCAATGGTTGCATTGGTGCCCAAAGACGTGGCGCTCTTCGCCGCCGGAGCGATTGCCGGCGCCGCCGCGAAGACCGTCACGGCTCCTCTTGATCGTATCAAGCTTCTTATGCAGGTTCGATTTTGTTTTGCATTTCACTTGAACTTCGCAATTCGGTCTTCAAGCATCGTCACTTTGAATTCTAGGGTTTTTGTAATTATGATTTGTATGTTTGATTTTAAATTTTATTGTTGAATTTAAGAAATTTGAGATTAGAGTCAGTCAATGAATGTGATTGGGATTGTTGATTTGTAGTCTCAAATTTTCTGGTCTGTTTGCAGACTCATGGATTGCGAGCTGGCCAAGAAGCTGCTAAGAAAGGAATTGGGTTCATTGAGGTATGTTACCAATTCTCTGTTTTGCTTAATTGCTCCACATGTAACAGATTTCATGCACTTTTTATTTTTTATTTTTTTTTATTTTTAAATTTTAGTTTTGAGGATCGTAACATAGCTAATAATACATTTATCAATATTGAAAACTAGGTAAGGCATAACTTATAGGCAGGTTAAGATCTCATTCATTCATCTTGCTTGTATTGTAATGTTAGGCGGGCAATTTCATCGATAGGACTGTAGACTGAAAATCAGCATAAATCATTAATAGGACCACTGCCATTAGCTTTCTGGAGGAAAGTTGGTATGATATCTATCTTTTAGTCCTAAAGCCTCTTTTGGGTAAATTATACCCCTCACTATGCTTCTTAAGTTTCTATTGACTTGTAAATTTTAAAACCCGCGAAAGGTATCCTATTTTCTTTAGGATTCAATTACCTTAATAGTTTAACTACTCTCCTCATTTCAGTCCGTGATTCCTGTAATCCCTTATAAAGGAGTTTGATAAATGATTATTGAGTTTAATTGTTTTCTATTTCTACTCCAGGAGTGCATGATCATTCAGTTGGTACTACAAGTACTTTGGTCTTTTGATCTTTTATCACTGCTTAAATAGAGAGATTCCTTCCTTAGCTTTCATCTCTCTATTTTTCCTTCCCCTTCTCTCTTTGGGTGTCATTTTGCGAATTGGGACTACTCATGATAAGTTAGTTTGGATGATAATTGTCATTGTTGAATGCTTTGGGCTTGAGTCTTTTCAGATCATTGTAAGGTGGAACAATTAGATTCTTTTTTGTTTTTGATAAGTATAAATTCTATAGATGAAAATGCGGCCATATGTAGGGGCTCAAACTGTGACGTATATAGAAAGCAAAGGCAATACAATTTAGATTTTATTTTTATTACATAATGGTGAGTTGGTAACAAGAAAAACCTAAAAGATTTCTGAGGTTTATGGAAATAAACATGGATAGCCAGCTCTGTGTGCTTGAATATTGTTTCACTATGTAAACTAATAATAATAATAATCAAATCAAACAAATGATTGAATAATCTCACACACCCAGTGCTATGTTGTATTTGCCTTCAAATAGAATTTACATAGTTGGTGATATATGATATATACAATCAGGTTTGCTTCTTATCTCAACATAACAGAATTGTGAATTCTAAAATTTATCAACATTTGAATTCTAATATTTATCTAATACACTATTATTGTGCTTTCAGTAAAGAATTTAGTCCTGGTTCTTCTTAGCTTCTATAGTATCTGATAAACTGTCATTGCTTATATGTACCTGCCTTGAATTGCTGAGGTCATTTCAATATCGATTGGTATTGCACCTGCCTGTTCTAGAAGCATTCGTACCGTGTCTGATACTTTTTCATATTTAGTGATGGTGCCTACCTGGACATGAATTGCAGGCTTTGACATTGATAGGGAAGCAAGAAGGGATTAAAGGGTATTGGAAAGGCAACCTTCCACAGGTCCTTTGCATCCTTTGCTTTTCACTTTCCCATAGATAAGCTTTTTTTCTAATAGTATTTTCACATTATTTTCCCAAATTCTGTACAAGGTTTTTGTCGAGTTTCACTTACTAAACATTTCCTTTTCAATTTCAGGTGATACGAATCATACCTTATAGTGCAGTCCAGCTGTTTGCTTATGAAACCTACAAGGTAATAGCAAAACCAATTTTCAAAAAAGTCTTAGCACTCTATGAACTTTTACTGTTTGAAGCATTTGATTAGTATTTTACCTTTGAATTTCTAGAAACTTTTTAGGGGGAAGGATGGCCAGCTCTCTGTTATTGGAAGGCTTGCAGCTGGTGCTTGTGCTGGCATGACTTCAACTTTTGTGAGTAATATAGTAAATGAGTTCACTTATGAACACAACTTGCTTGATGATGATGTATTTGCTATATATATATATATATTCTATTTGTATGTCTATTAACAAATATAAAGCGTTAATCCTTGACTCATTGGTTCTTCATAGGTAACATATCCTCTAGATGTCTTGAGGTTAAGATTAGCTGTTGAGCCTGGGTACAAAACAATGTCCGAGGTAAGAGTCATAACACTGACCAACATAAATTGTATTTCTGACATGGGGCACCTTACATGTGATGGGTTTTGTCGAATTGCTTTCAGGTTGCCTTGAACATGCTAAGAGAGGAAGGAGTTGCATCATTTTACAATGGTCTTGGACCTTCTCTTATTGGAATAGCACCTTATATTGCTGTGAACTTTTGCATTTTTGATTTGTGAGCTTACTATTTCAGTAATATTTTCTCTATTGCTTCATAAGAGAGACACAAACATGTAAAACATTTTTTTTAATCTTGAAACCTGGATCTTTTGTTAAATGTTATTAGGATAAAGAAGTCTTTGCCAGAGAAGTATCAAAAGAGGACTGAAACATCACTAGTAACAGCTTTGGTGTCGGCTACTCTTTCCACGCTTATGTGCTATCCTTTGGATACAGTGAGAAGGCAAATGCAAATGAGGGGTACACCTTACAAGACAGTTTTAGATGCTATTCCAGGTAACTTGGTGCTTTTATTTATCAACACTTGTAAGCCAGTAGAGATGACCACAAATTGTATCATAATAACGCATGGTTAAATTCCATAGATGGCATATCCGAAGCACTTGTAATCACTTTAGTTGCACATTCATCTGCCTTCAGTAAAAAAAAAAAAAAAACGTAGGAAGCCTTTACTCTCCGTGTCTAGATCAGACTTAAAAGTTGGGGGAATAACAGTTCAGCATAGAAGACTAAAATTATAAACAAATAGGCGTGGGAGCAAATTTTAGTGAAATCCATTAGTCATTATAGATGGGAAAGTTGAGTTTCTTAAACTCCTATTGAAAATTATCGAATTGCTAATTCTCTGCTTTGATCTTGTTGATGCAGGAATAGTAGAACGGGATGGTTTAGTTGGATTGTACAGGGGTTTTGTTCCCAATGCATTGAAAAATCTACCAAACAGCAGGTTCTGTTGCATCTGCTCTACTTTATGTCAAATACTTTCTTGTATTATATATGTATTGTTTAACTTTTAATTAGATAAATTTCAGCTTTTCATTTTTAGTCATTAACGAGTTAATTTTATTCAGAATGCTTTGATTTTGGCTGAGCCTTGGAAGATTTTGCATAATGACTAGGATGTTGTCGTAGAATTAGTTTTGCAGACTTGTTTTATGTTTACACTGATATTGAGTTGATTTTTGCACCATAAAAAGTTGCCTTCCTTTTCTTTTTCCTTTTTATTTTATACTTTCAATTGCTTTATTCTTAATATATAGTATTTATTTACCTACACTAGTTTTCTTTTTTTTCTTTTGCAGTATTAGGCTTACCACCTTCGATACTGTTAAACGTCTAATAGCTGCCAGTGAGAAGGAGTTTCAAAGAATTGCAGAGGAAAATCGCAAGAAAGAAAAGCAAAGCACTAGTGATTCAACAGACTAGTTTTGTGTCGCTATTATGCTGCCATTGATTTTTTCTTTTCCATTTTTTGTGATCATGTCCTGTGCAGAATATCCTCGTTTTGGGGAGGAATGATGTTCTGCCAAAAATCATTTGTACTGGGTTTGTGCTTCTTGAGTCTACCAGGAATTCATATTTCCTTGGGCTGTGGTTTTGTACAACAGGTCCTTTATACTAGCCCAGAAATTCAACAGGGTAGTTTACAATTTCACATAGTTCAATCCTATGATGTGGTTGTAATTCATGTTCATGTTGATCTTGGTCACTGAATAAATTTTTTTGTTGTCATCAGTATTCTTGAGATTTTCAACAGTGTTGATCTTGAATGGGAAGGGATCGATAGGATCTGGAGACACCTGAAGCTTTTAGAATAGGTGTTGGCTCTGTGTCTAACTAGAATTAGGAACTGCTAATTTTGAAGTAGATCGAGCCCATTTCTTGGCCATTTCACAAAGGGAAGACATCCACACAAACTATTTTTGGCCTTTGGAAATTTTTATTGTTATTTTTATTTTTTTGGTTCCTCTTTCAAAAGTCAACTTTCAAAAAAAAATTCATTATAGATTAAAAAAAGAGAAAAATTACTAGCTAGCAGTGTTATCAAAAAAATCATTACAAATTTATCATAAAATAAATAAATTTAATTATTAATGTGTATTTATTATTATTATTATTTTTAAACTACACTGAAATGAAATTTTTTCAAAAAAGATATTCAAATTCAAATTCGAACACTCAAATCTTTTTATTAATATGATGGTATATTTTTAGATTGGAAAACACCCCAAATCTTAAAAATAGTGGTATTATATGCACTAATTAATATACCAATTAGTATTATAATATTATTATTGACCTCACCTATATTATAAATACTTAAAACTTCTAAAATTGTGTCACACAATCTATTAGTACATTAATTATTACACTAATTAGTTCATATAACATTATTCAAAATCAAAATATTCGAATATAACCTAAGAATTTATTAATCCTGTTGAGCCTAGATACATACATACATACATACACATGCCAGAATTGAACTCTTAAACATTGAAAATCAGCCCAAAAAGAAAAGAAAAGTGTAGGAAACGACGTGGTATGAACCATGGAAGCTCTGACCAATGACCATTCGCTTGCCAGCAGTAGCATAACAAGCATAAGCAAGTCACAGCTGAGCTCAGCATTAACAACATCACACAAAACCCTACTAGCACTAGTCATGCTCTCTCTACCCTTGTTCACTTTCCCTCCAATCACTCTCTCTCATCACCCCTCCAAACCTCTCTCTCCCACACTACTCCTCCGCCGCCGCCACCACCAACTCTGCTTCAGACCCAGTCCAGACCTGTCCTCCGCCTGCGCCACCGCACAGAGTGTTATAGTCGAGGAAGAAGAAGACGTCGGTGCCGGAGAGGAAGAGACTCTGCCGGCGGGACTCCGGAGGGATCTGATGCCGGACCACGTGGCAGTGATTATGGATGGGAACAGGAGGTGGGCCCGGATGAGAGGGCTTCCGTCCGGGTCGGGTTACGAAGCGGGTGTGAGGGCCTTGAGAGTGCTTGTCAAGCTCTGTTGCAGATGGGGTATTAGGGTTCTTACCGTCTTCGCTTTCTCTTCTGATAACTGGTTTCGCCCCAAGGTCACCTTCAACCCCGCTCTCTCTCTCTCTCTCTCTCTTCTGATGCTGGCATTTTGTGGAATTTCTTAGTGAGTGAGTGATGTGTTTGTTTTTGGGGTATTTTTGTAGGTGGAAGTTGATTTCTTGATGAATTTACTTGAAAGAGGAATGAATGATGAACTAGACAATTTTTTGAGGTAAATTCGTCTTCAAATCAAGTCATTTATACTTGATTGCTAGTTTTTAACTACAATTTCTCTATGCAAAAATACATCAATGGATTTGGTTACAATTTATGAATTTCACAATGATAAATGATTACTCTAAAAAAAACCCCTTTTAGTGTTGTTTAAAATATATTGGTGCGAAATCGTAGCAACATTTCTTATAACCGAATATTTATGATGTTTTGGTAGTACTTGTCTTCAATGTATAAATAAATTAATAAATAATCGAACCGCAAAAATGCTTTTCATGGTTTGCACCAAGGGATTGATTATTCAGTAGCTTTTTAAATTTAGTTGTGTCGTCACAACCGAATGATTATAGTGCGAAGTAGGCAATTGAACTCCGAGTTAACAAAAGCATACATTGCCATAACCAAATATATATATACATATATATATATATATATTTGTTGTTTCTTTACTATGTTCATACTTCATACAGAATTGTGTTGAATCTGAATCATTTGGAGTGGAGTGGAATTATGGTATTGATGAATTGTCCTTCTATTTATCGATTTTTTGCTTTTTAATGTCACAGCATAGGTTGTCAAGTACTGTATGTAGACGACAAAACCCAACAATAGTAGAGGTCCCTCGAAAAAAGCAAAAAATCGTCAGGCCATAGATGATTTTGACCATCTTTTCAGGTCATTAAGATTTGGCTAGGAAGCACGACACGACATGATACGGGTACAGACATGATACGGGTACAGATGCGGATAGATGACACGATGATTTTAAAAAAGTGAAAACATGAACACGGTAGGAATACGATAATAAAATATATTTTCATATATTTTTATTTTCTATTTAGATTAATATTACATTTACAAACAATCAATATTAATAAAAATTAACTCTAATTCTATTTTTTTATTTTAAAAAACACTTTTAATTACAATTTATATATATATATATATATATTTTACGGATGATCTATTAAGTATTTAAATTTAAAAAAATAATAACAAACATTCAGTATTCATCAAAAGTATTAATTAATATGGAGAAAAAGATAACTTGTCATGTCTTTAGTGTGCCCCTGAAGTGTCACCTGAAAATAAATAAATTAAATAAGAGGACAAGACATATGGTGCGTGTCATATGTGTCCCCGAAGTGTCCGTGTGTCCGACATGAATACGACATTTTCTTTGAAGTGTCGGTGTTTCATAGAGATTCGGGAACAACTTCTTTCCAGTTTGGAAACGGATTGGACGGTGTGGTTGAGCCTTGGTGGGTTTAGGAGAGAGCTGTTCTCTTAAGATATCATCCAAAACATGTGTAGAAGAACATGGTCCAAAATCAGTTGATCTATTTGTCTATATATTGTTTTTTTGTTTTCGGGTTTCTCAGGAGGCTGCGATTTCCATGTTAGTCCTGATTTCAACTTGACAATTTTCTGTTGATAGGGTTCATATTTAAGTCTGAAATATCAAATTGAAAATTTTCCTCCATGATCTTATTTTACTTCTTTCCGATGTATAGAAAAGATTATATTTTACTGTTTTCAGTACTACATTTTAACTATTATCGTTTTTATTGTTATCACTTGTTCTTACTTGCGTGCACCATTAAGTTGTTAATGGCCTGTACTGAAGAATATGTAAGAGATACCTGAAATTGCGCTTAATTTGATGGTTTCCAACAGGGAAAATATTCGAATTTCGAGTATTGGGGATTCTTCCAAGCTCCCAGATCCCATACAGGGACTAATAACCGATGCTGAGGAGAGGACAAAGCATAATTCAGGACTCCAATTGATCGTAGCAGTTAGCTATAGTGGGAAATATGACATTGTGCAAGCATGCCAAAGCATTTCTCTGAAAGTAAAAGACAGTCTTATTGAACCCGAAGACATCAATGAGTTCTTAATAGAGCAAGAACTGCAAACAAAATGTACAGAAATCCCAGATCCTGATCTACTTATACGGACAAGCGGTGAGCTTAGAGTAAGTAACTTCTTTCTGTGGCAGTTGGCTTATACTGAACTATACTTCACCCAATCACATTGGCCTGATTTTGGAGAAATTGAGTTTGTTGAGGCTTTACAATCCTTTCAGCAAAGACACAGACGATATGGTAAGAGAGATTCTTAGATAACAAATTTACAATACCATACTAAGATTGTTCTAAATGGAGAAGACAAAGATTGACCAAGATTGTGGATGCATCTGGAATCAAATTGAAGCAAGCATAAGCTTGACTGGTCACCGGAGTTGACTGGTTTGATACATAACAGTACGGTGTTCAAATGGGATGTCGTTGCTAACCGAGACAGATCTAGGATTCGAGTTTTGGGGACAAAAACACATGCAATTTTTCATCGAAAAAAAATTATCATAAAATATTAAATTTTGATTTATACTAGCACAAAACATGAATGATAGTACTATTATTAATCGGACATTCTTTGTCTACATAATTGAGAACAAAATTATAATTAGATTTTTTTTTGTTTTTGTTTTGTTTGTATTAACTTAACAAAAATACTAATTATTATTACATCTTTGTCCGCTGAAGTTAACTATGGACTATTTTGGAAACTTGGCTAAAAGTCACTGTTTTTGGTTAGTAGTAAAAGTCAAAAGTTGGTTTTTTTGGCTTTTTTTTTCATTTGGCAAGTTGGTTTTTAGCCAACGGTGCAATTACAATTTTACCCCTCATGGGTCACAATGTGTTACATAGGTTCAGTTGTAAATATTTTAAATAAATGGGGGTAGTTTAGTCATTTTATTATGATTTGACATCATAAACAAATATTAATCAAAAAAGTCAAAAGTCACTTTTTACCAACTTTCCAAATCATTTGTCTAAAAAAGCCAAAAGCTTGGTTAAAAGTCAAAAAGTCAAAATAACGTATTGCACTTTTTCAAAATAAAAACACAATTCTCAAAAAATACATATACGAACCATATTATGAAAATTAATTTTGAGTTTTGTATAAAACAATTGAATATATTACATTAATCTAAACTTCAAGAAAACTAATTTGTAAAATTATATTTCATATTTATTATATAATTTTTAGAAATTAATAGTAGACTTGGGACCAATCGGGGTTGTGAAAATTTCTGTTCAAGTTTTGTTCAAATTTAAGTAGGATCGACAAATTTTTAGACTAAATTTGAAATTATATTGCCCAAGACTTACAATTTTTTAGACTAAATTCGAGTTGTTCGGGTTGAGCTCACTCAAAATATTCCTATTTAATGTAAATTTGGATTTGCCATCTTTGTTTAACCCATGCTTAAGTTGGTGTGCTAGTTTTGCAAGAAAATGGTTGCGTCTCACCCTACAAATGATGCTCTATGCTTTCATTTTTGTCTTTAATTTTTAATTGGTTGGCTTGTCGTTTTCATCGTTACCAATCTATTAAAATGTTGTTTGATTATTGAATCTTACTTTATTTTATTTTATTACTAATGAATTATGAAATTAACCTTTTCCTTGGCTTAAAGTTTAAGCTCTTTGCCTAATTAGTAAAGTGGATTCAAATTATTCACTAGTTTAAGATCATCACGTTATATTTAGTCTCATCAATCATGATCAGGCTTAATTAGTAAAGTGAATTTGAATTATTCATTAGTTCATGACCATCATGTCCAAAGTAAAACCAAAATTTAATTTTTACACATTCACTAAGAGGTAGTCTTGATCAAGTAAAACCTCAAGATTTAATTTAATTTATTAAAATTAATTAAAATTAACGTAGTGATTCAGTATTACTAAAAAATAATCCTCACTTCTCTATGTATTTCTTATTCCCCTATTGTTATGTAGATTTGTGTACATCTATAGTACCATGATTAATTTTTTCATAGTCAAAATTTTGTATAAAATTGTCTCACTTTTGAAAATGATTACAAATGTATAACCTCACCTAACATTAAGCACTTAAAATGACTTGTGTCCAATGAGATATATATATATATATATAATAATAACTAAATTAGAAAAAAGTACTTATATTAAAAGAACCTTTTTTGGGTAAACATTAAAAGAACAAGCATGGTGTTATTACTGAAAAGAAAATAAATAAAATTGAAGCCACTTGGTGTAGAATTTCCAATAAGCTATTTCTTTTTTGTCTTTTTAGTCTTTCACCCAACAACACAAACATATTTGATGATGAAGTTGACAACATATTTTAACATTAAAAATCAATAAATAATTGAAGTTGTTAGTTAATTTATGTTATGTTTGGGTCTAGAATTTGATGAGAGAAAGAAAAATGAAAATACTTGTATTTGATTATTTTTCTACGATTAATTAAATTTTAAAAAGAATTTGTTCTGATAAATATCTATTTATGTTTTTGATTTTCAACCCAACAAACAAAATGTAAGAAATTTGTCTTTTCCATTTGATTTTATTTTTCTTCGACAAATTCAAATTTATATGGAATCAAAGTCTAGCCATCATTTCAAGGTAGGGAGTACAAGTTAGAAATTAATAAGTTAATGGTAAAAGGTTTTAAAATATTTATTTTTCAGTAGTTCCGATATTGTAACTTTAGTACAAAATAAAATAAAATAAAATAAAATAAAATAAAATATAATATTTTTTTACTCATTTTAAAATTCTTTTCACTAATTTTAAAATATATTTTGTATAAATTTTAATATTAAACAATAGGCATGAAGTACTTGTCTTTTTTATTTAATTTAATATTTTTTTTAGAGAAATGTAATTGATTAGTTTAACAAAGGGCCATTGTAGTGGTGTCAAAGTAGAGACTAGAAAAGAGATTTGGATAAGATTATACTAACTAGCGGTTGGGTACACACGATGTGTGTGCAAATTAAATAAATAAGAATAAAAGAAAATAATAATGAAATTAATATTATAATGTGTACTTAGCTTAAGTGGTATGAGTCTTCATACTTAAACCCATGGTCATGGGTTCAAGCCTTGTCCATCTCTTTGTTTAACTTTTTTAAAAAAAATAAAAAACACTGCCACATGGCATGAGGAGAGTAAAGCAGCTCAGGACACCATATTCATGGTTGTTTCACTTTATAATATCACTAGCGGTTGGGCACACACGATTGTGTGTGCAAATTAAATAAAGAGGAATAAAAGAAAATAATAATGAATTAAATATTATAATGTTGTACTTACTTAAGTGGTATGAGTCTTCATACTTAAACCATGGTCATGGTTCAAGCCTTGTCCATCTCTTTGTTTAACTTTTTTTTTAAAAAAATAAGTAAAAACGAAAACTGCACAAGGCAATGAGGAGAGTAAAGCAAGTTTCAGGACACATATTATGTGTTCACTTTATAACAGTATAGATAGATAATAGATAGATAGGATAGATAAATAATTTGATCATCAATGGAAGCACAGCCTTTCTATCCAGAATACCCATTTGTCATATTTTATGATAGAATTATTGTTATTTCATTCGAAATTGGTTATATATCTATATATATATATATTATATATATATTTAAAGTTTTGTATCAAAAATTTATGTTACAATATTTGATTGCAGTTTTTTTGTTCATACAACAAAAATACTAAATAAGTAAAAATATTTAGGTGTCGTTTGGCAACACTTACGTTTACAGTTTTCTGTTATATTTACAAAAATTTTAAAAATTCAAATAAAAACATTGTTTTGGTAAAAATTTTTTAATTTATAATTCAAGTGGTCTCAGTTTATAATTAAGAGCCCAGAAAAATGAAAACACAAAAAATGTGTTTTCCGTTTTGGAGTTTTTGAGTTTTTTTTTTTTTTTTTACCACCAACACTAGCCACCCACGCGACCGCCACAATTTTCTACCACTGTCTTCTGCCACACCCCACCCGCCACCACCACCCCCACACACCTTCACCAACCACCACCGCCCCACAATCACCAGCTACCACATGCGCACCACTACCCACCCACCACCAACCAACCGACACACCTGCCACCTCCACTTCGCCACCACCACCACCCTTGCCACCGACCACTACCCACCACCACCACTACCCACACTGCATCCACTCGCCAACCACTCCCCCGCCGATTACCATCCACCGCTCGCCACCACTACCCGCCACCTACTTACACCACCATTACACACCCACCTGCCACCAACCATCCACTACCAGCCACCCACCACCACCACCCACCTACAACCCCCCGCCACCTACCACCCACCACCCACTCGCTCACCATCTACCACTACCCACTCGCACCGACCTACCACCCCCGCACCGTCACCGCACCCACCACTACCACCATTACCCACTACCACCCGTCATCCGCCACCCACTTGCCACACCAACCACACCTGCCACCACCACCACCCACTTACTACCACCCACCACCCGCCACTGTCACCCACCCATCCATCATCACTACCTTTATTACACCGTCATCCGCCAACACCACCCACCCCACCACCACCCACCTGCCGCCACCATAACCACCTGCCCGCCGCCACCACCACCACTCACTCGCTACCACCCACCACTTGCCACCGTCACCACCCACCTGCCACCACCACCCGCCATCGTCACCCAACCACCGACCACCACCACCCGTCACCTACCACCACCACCAGCCATTCGTCACCACCCACCTGCACCACCACCACCCACTCGCTACCACCCACCACCCGCCACCGTCACCCACCCGCCACTACCCATCACCACTAGCTACCTACCACCACTAGCTACCCACTACCCACCGTCACCACTTTCCACCATCGTTTTCCGCCGCCACTTGCCATCACTTGTCATTTCTCACTCTTTTTTATATTTTTAACATTTTGTCAATTACCAAACGCGTTTGTAGTTTATGTTTTTTCTAAAAATAAATAAAAAATAAACAAAACCATTTTGTAAATATAACTGAAAACGTAAACATTACCAAACACAACCCTTAATTTGTAGAAAATTAAGGGAGTAGTGATTTTAAATTAAAAAATTTTAATTAGAGAAAAAACTACATCAAACAAGGCATAAGATTGTGTTTTAATTTCAATTTGAATATTACTTTTCTTTTGTTTTTCTTTACAATTTTTTTATTTATTTATAAATTTAAAACGGTGATGTTACACACACCAATTGATATACTAATTAGTGTACCAAATATATATTTATAACATTGTCACTTCAAAATTATAACCCACTCATTACACAAATTATAAAGACTCAAAACTTCTAAAATTATATCACATCATCTATTAGTACACTATTTAATATACCAATCGACACCTATAGATTATTCAATTTAAAATTTAAACACAACAATAATAATAATTAATGCTAATTGACAAAACTAGATTATTTAAGAGGGTTGGGCTACTCAAATTTGACTGGTTTATTGGATTCACTACAAATCTCATTTTAAGTGATTGGAATTATTTATTTTATAATAATTTTTTTAATTTAATAATTATAATATTTTATTTTATCATA